GTTTAAAGGGTAATAAAATAATTGCTGATGTAATATGTTCCATATAGTTATTACAAAAACACAAAATAAGTAAAAACAAGTATTTAAATACAGTATGTGTATAAGCTGTTTAGATTGTCAAAAAGTCTGTGTTTTTAGGGTTATTAACAAAGTGTGTACTCAGACCAGTAATATTTGGGGTCACAAGTTTTTGCCATGGATATTTTGTGGGTCAGAAGATAAAAAGTTTGGGAACCACTGGTCTAGAGCTCCTCGGGCCTGGCAGTCTGTCTGGAGGAAGAGGTATTGGGGCCTCACTCCCTGGGTGGGTCTCGGAGAACGGAGGTGCCTACCGAGGTCAGTGGGGAAGCTGGCTCCCCGTGGGAGCATTTTGCTCCCCCAGTCATTTTTTTCTCCCCATCCATCACTACATACCTCCATCCTCTTCATTTTCAATTCCAATCATGTAGGGCTTTTGGGGTGCAGGTGCATTACAAGGAGCAACAATTTTACATCTCAGTTTGCCATAACCCCCTGGGCCCCAATTTTACTGTACACCCTAGACATTTACTTATAACATCCTCATGACATTTACATATAGGGACTTGGGGGTGGGCACTTACGGCATGCAAGGGGCGGTATGGAATATTCTCACCGCTGATGCCTGGGCCCACTCCCAATTGTTGCTTGTTGGGTTAGAGTTGGGGTGGAGGGAAAACTGGCACCGTGCCAGCCTCTGTCCCTTCTTCTTCCCCATTTTAATTGCACTATAGAACAACACGCATCAACATCACATCTTAGGGTTGAGGTGTGTGTGTGTGTGGAGGGGTCTTTTTCATTCCCCCGTTCCCCAGTTGCCATTTAGGGATGGGGTCCGGAGGATGGGGCGGACCCTCTGGTGGAAACATGGGCTGTGGGTGGGCTCGGGGCCTGTGGGGGTGCCAGGGAGGGGGCTGGTGCTCCGGCTTCCCTGGAGCCATTTGGATTCCTGGGGTATGACTCCTGGTTGCTGTGGTTGCCCGCTGGCTGTGGTGGCTGCTGGATTCCGGGGGTTGGTCGGCTGTGGCTGCGGGCTTGGCCATTGGAGGTGTGTGGGGGTAGTTGGGGGRGTGGCTTTGCTTCGGCGGGGGCTGACTGGTCGGCCTGTTGCGGTCCGGACAGAACTTTGGCTGTCTGCTCCATCCCAGAATGAATGCGTCTACCTCCTGGGTTCGGATGTGGGGTGCCCTCCGTTGGCGGTGCATGTCCTGGACCTGGGGGGATAGAGTATGTATGGGGAGGGTGACTGGAGTATTGCGTCACTCTTGTGTGTCTTTGAATGAGTGGGTGTGAGGATGAGGGTGGGATTGTGTGATTGTGTCTGTATATGATTGGATATGTGTCAGGCTGGGTCTTGGGCTGCCCCCTCTTCTGGTTCACCTTGGGGCCCAATGCTGGTAGTGGGCTTTGTCCCCCTGCCACTCTGCCCTCTGGTGGGCTGTGCCTCTGCACGCTGGTGCGCTGATGACCCTCGGTGTCTGGGGCTGGGCGCTCAGGCGTGTGCTGACTCAGCCCGGTGACTGCCTGGTGGGGCCTGGGTCCTCTGGCCCTATAGGCCTTGGCCTAGGTTTGGTGCGCCCTGGAGGCCCGGGCCTCTGTGTCCATACCTGGATCTGCTCCAGCGTGGTGGGTGCCGGAGAGGCCTGTGAGCTCGCCACTGTCGGCCTCGGGGGAATACTGCATGGGGTCACCGGGGGGACTCTCCTGGTTCTCTCCTATGGTCTGCTCTGGGGGGCGGATGTGTGGTTCATCCTCCACTGGTGCCCCTGGGGGCTCCACGCTTGGGGGTCCCTCTCGGGGTCTTTGGCACTGGTCTCCCTTATGTCTGCTTTGGGTCTTGGGAATCGGGTCTTTGGGTCTCCATGGTCACTATTAAATATTCCATTGGAGAAATCTTGTACTGTATATACATGCATGTTCACAACTGCACACAAGCTTATGTTCAGATTCTGGGGTATCTGACAGTCATTGAAGGTATATATATACTGTATATGCACATTACAAAGTTTCAGAATTGAATAGTTCAGAGATTAAATTGTATTTTAAAGAGTTTTAAGATACTTTTTGT